TTCTGTAGTTTTTTGAAATTATGTTCTAAATGATCTAATTTTTGCAAAAATAAAGTTTTTACAAAAAAAATTTTTTTGCCCATAGCCACCTTTTGCTATGGGGCCCCCCATTTGTAATTTAATCCTTTGGATAATTCATATTGAAGATTCCAAAAATTCTCATTCATAAACACAAAATAAAAGATACAGATGGGAGTGCATAATCGGAATTATTTGATATATTTTCTTTTTATTTTTTTTTTTTATCTTTTTTTATTATTATTATTATTATTTAATATAACACCATCTATAAGAGGGATAAGATATAAGACAAATTCTTTCCAAAATAGTTTTACCAAAAACTCTAACCCTACAATAAATACAATAATACTTTGTTAACCAACTGCCTAAAGTAATAATTCTAAAGGGTGATTCCAGTATGTATATACTTTTGGTGATATGACATTAATGACTGAAAAAAGAAATAAATAAATTTTGTAAAACCAAACTTATATTAGAAATTTTGATATTATATTTGAAAATATTGCTTGAAGTGGCAGACTTTTGATTTTTTTCTTTTTATACAAACATTATTGTTTTCTTTTCTCTTAATTACCAACTTTCTTGATACTATAGATTTTATATTTACAAATTTTTTGATCAAGCATATCTTTTTAGTACTTATCTATATAATAAGTTCAATAATTGAAAGAAAAAAGTAATTTAAAATTAGTTAAAACAATGTTTCTTAAAATTATTTTTATTTTTTGTCTTATCTTTTATATTTCTCTTTCAACAAAAGCAGCTATATTTCCGGATTATAACAAATCTTCACAACAATTTATCTGCCCTTCTGAACAATATAGCAATTACAATTTACACACTACTTTTTTTACTCAAGTTGGATTTTTATTCTCTAGTTCATCTCTTATTTTTACTATTGCTGTTTATGGTGCAGGATCTATATTCAGTTATATAAAAACCTGTAGAATTAATGATATTGTTATTTTCACTACTTCTTTGGGTCCCATCTTTTCTTGGTATTCACTTATCAAACCAGTTTGGTATGGAAATGTAATGTGTGAAACTCTCAAAAGCACAAATAAAATATGTTCATTTCTAGGAAGCTCTATATTATTGTTTTTGCTACTTTTACTAGTAGTTATTGTTATCTTTATAATATTTATCTATAAACATTTTTTTATGAAGATTCTGGTGTATAGTGGCTCGAAGAAAATAAGAGAGAACATATTAAAACTACTTTAATTTTTGTTTATTTCTGTTATTCCATTCAAATCATCTTTTATAATTGTATGAAGTCTTTCTTTTTTATTAAAAATAACTCATTAATTATCATACCTTTATTTAATACTTTATTTCTAAATTATTTTATAGATTTAGCCTATTTACTCTTAACTTTAATTTTAATTATGCGACATTTTTATATTCCATCCAATAACTTCAGATTCCTTAGTAAAAAGATTTTCTTTTTCGTAATTTTTCTTTCCATATTTGAAATATTTTTCGAATATAATTATATTTGTACACAAAGTTATGTTGATACTACTTTCAATGCTATTCTTATCTTTGTTTTAACTCGATCGATTAATTATTCTTTTCTAATAAAGGAAAAATTAGGGATATTCATAAACATGGTCACTACAATGTAGGGATGGCAAAAAACATGTTTTTTATTTTTCAGTGTTTTAAAACATGTTTTAAACAAATTGTATGTTTTTTATAAAAAAAATATATTATTAAATAATTTTCAAAGAACTACATCTATTTTAATAACTATATAATATATATTTAAGTAAATATAGCAAAATTGGTTTTTAATTATAAAATTATATATATACTTAGACATATACATATATTGAATCATATTAAATTAATTATACTTAACTTTCTAGTTTCTATTTACTATTTTGATGATACACAGCATATGACTTACTAATTTATTTAATTAAAATTATACATATCTCAGTTAATCTAATATCTACAAAGTATTATAATAATCGAAAGTTAATTCATGAAAATTATAAATAACAACTAAGAATGAAAATAAGAATAGCTGGTCTTTTCTCATTCATGTTTCAATTTTCACATATTGATTATTAATTCACAATGATCAGTATGACTAGGCATTATTTTATAATATTAGGATTAGCGATATAGAATTTTATTGCTTATATTTTGTAGTATTATGTATTACTGTATTTTTAGTATATAACAAATTTTTTAAAAAATAAAAGTTTATTATAATTCATCAAACCAACTATCTTCTATGACATTTTTCTGAATTCTAAAATTTTGAGAAACTGCGACTAATTTTTTTACTCTATCATTGCTTAATCTAGCACGCAATTTGCTATGAATAAATCCAAATTGAGACCAATTGTGTTCAGCTAAAGCTGATGAAGTTGGTATTGATAATAATTTAATTGCTAAATTTACAAGAAAAGAGTATTTATATTCAAAATTAGATTTCCACCAGCTAATAGAATTAGAATATTTAATCGATTCCCAAAGTAAAGAATTGAAAAATTCATCTGATTTTGCAATATATTTTTGAATCGTTCTATATAACTAATTAAATATTAAAAATTAAAAATTTATATATATATTTCGAATTAAATAAACTAATATTTTATATAACTTACATGTGCAGCAGTGGCAGACGGATAAGTTATATTTAAATATAGAACAATAATATTTGTTAAATCATCTGGTTTTAATGCTTTTCCATGAAAACTATTTAAATAAATGTATATTAGCAAATTGTTATTTATAAAGCTTTGCAAATATTATATCATATTGCAAAGTTTTAGTTATTTAGTATAGTTACAATATAATTTTTTCATAAGTTATTTCTTCTACTTAATATTATATAATATTTTGCTAAAAATATATATCATTTATAATAATTAAATACTAATTCCAACGCATAATGTTGAGTAAATAGTTTGTTAAGAAATAACTTTTGAAAAATTAAGCAGTAAATTTAAAAGATATATCTTTGTATAAAATTTTAAAATTATTCTCATACGATTAATTTATATGAAATTATTAGGTTATTTAAAAGCTAATTAAACTATTTAAAAATAAAATATTTAAATTAAAAAGTTACTATTTCATTAATACTTATATTATACTTACTTTGGATCCAACAAATTTGCAAGTACTAAAGCCGGATGAAAAATAAATTCAAATCTTGTAGTAATTAAATCAGAAATTTCTTCTTCTTGATACAAATCTAAATTAAGTTTTTCAACTGATGAATAAAGATTATTCCACTCTGCATAAACATATGATAATAATGGAGTATCTGATTCAAATAATTTAATAAAACATGTAAAAGGTAATAATAATAATTTTAAAAGTTCTAACTTATCCCATAATTCTTCTTCTAAAATTTTGTTTTTTAAAGTATAACCTATAATATTAGAAATTGTAGGTTGTAAAACAAATGTTTGAATAGCAATTTTACAACGAATAATAGATTGAACTGAATCAAGATAGGTTTCCCAGTGTGTATCTACTGATTTAACAAGTATAATTGTATTAGACTCTTGTTGTAAAGTAGCTTCAGCCTGATAATAGCTTCTAAAAAAAGCAACAATTTCTTTTGTATCGTCCATTGACTCCTCTACCCAATCTAGCTTAAGAATATCTTTGATTAAAAGGTTGCCTACATGTGAATTACATCCTATACAAATAAGATTTGATAATTATTATTAAGTATTCTCTATGCTACACATATTGCATTTGCATTATTAGTAATAACTGCTGCAAATTTTGATAATTCAATTTCTTCAATAACAGATTTAAGCTTATTATAGATAAATTTAACAATATGTAATTTTGATTCAGTATAATTTGCATCGTAAAAAATTGGTTCAGGAAGACAAAGAATAAAGTTTAAAACAGATTCATAACAGATATTTGATCTTAAATAATAATACAAATAATTAGATATATAATAAATATTTAAGATAATTTGCTATTGAAGAGTATAATTTTTTTAGTAAAAATTTTTACTAGATTTATTATAAAATTGGAATACTAAAATTTTTTATAGTAAATAATTATATAGTTAAAATAATAATATCTAATTAAAATTGTTAAAATAAAGGCTATTCAAAGAACAAAATATACTATTTAATATTAGCTAGCCACATTCCAATATTATTATAAAAAATAACTCTTCAATTGTGATTTACCTTTTAGATTTTAAAATAGATTAATATAAAAATTAAATATTTAAATTTACTATCCATCTAATATAAGTAAAATATTATTTATTTTTTTAAGTTTATCTTCTAAATATTCATACTCTTGAGAATAGGCATTATTTAAAAGTTTATTTGCCAATTGCTGCCGATTTGGTAAATTATAAGAAGAATGAAGTGTATTTATAAAATCAATTCAATATGGATTTTCAATTGTAGAAAAAGAATAGCAGATAAGTAAAAAAAATTAGCCAGTTTTTTATCTAAAATAATTTTGTCATTTTGAGGCATACTATCCAAAAAATTAGTTATAAACTGAGAACACATTTGCTTTGCACTTCCTGTTGTAGTAGAATTAGGTTGCATAGGAGCACTATTTTAACGAGATTTACTTGTAATTAAATTAGTTGATTCTCGAAGTTTATAAGAAAAAGAATTACATATATTCAAATATTCTTTCAAATAATCAACTAAGTTAACAACATCTTTATTGCAATATTTGTATATTTGGCAAGAAGTAGAAAGACTATTGGCATTTGTATTATTCTCTTCTGCAGAATAAAAATGATCAGTACGAATATTAGAGGAAGGGCAACTACGAGACATTGAATAATTTATTGTAAGAAAAAAACTTTAATTAAGCTATTGCTAGCCAAAGTTGTGTTTTTATTAATCAAATTTTTGTCTTTTTATAATTTTTTTATTATATTTAATCTAATCTATTTTACATTTTAGAAGAATTCAAAAAAATTTGTTTGTTTGGGCTTTGACCTGGCAATGAAAAGTATTTTCAATTAATCTCCTTTTTTTCTGATTTTTACACGTTTTATGTGCTCTTACCCTTTTAAGTAGTATTAATTTCTTTCTTGTATATACAACTATAAATTTTAATTAGTTTACTTTTTTAGTTAATGCTGTAATGCATTTACTCATATATATTACATAAGTTAAAATATTTATATATAATTTTTCTGATAGTTATTTCCAATAGAAGAAACCACATAATTGATCTTTCACAGGTGTTCAACTTATAAAAAAATTATTTCACGATATCAGATTATTTACAAGCACATGTTATAATTATAATAAAATGGTATAGAATTATAATCATAATATGTACTGGCAGAATGATTTGGTATTGTAAAATAATTTTTTTATATGTTGCATACTAAGTGAAGAATCAGTTATGTAATATTGATATTTTTTCTGCTTAAAACACAGGATTGTTTTGGCAATAATAATTTATACCATGTAATAAACCAATTAGCACTTTGGTTAATAAGCTGACCTGAATTGGATACTAAAGTTAGAAGAAAATTTTAACAATAAGGCTTAGCTTTACAACAGAGATATACAAGATTTTTAAATTTAGAAATTAGTTTGTTTTAAATTTAATTAGGTATATAATTTTTATAACTGTGTCTGGTATAGGCTATAATAGTGCTTTTATAAATTAATTTTTTTTACTTTTTTTTTTCTTTTATTTGTTGTTTTTTTATTTATTTTCTTATTGCTTAGATATATTTTTTTCTTCTTCTCTTTTATTTTGTTCTTTTTATCTTTTTTAGTATTAGCTTTATTTTTTTTATAAGTCAGTTAAAGACTATAAATTCTTCTGTTTAGAAAGCTAGAAGAAGATTAAAAAAAGAGGTAATTTTAATAAGCTATAATATCATTCAGTGATATATTGAAGAATTTATTTGCAGAGTTTTTTGATATAAAAATAAACTTTATTATAGCAAATCAAACATGGGTAATTTGGGTATTTTGGTGTTACAAAGAGCCAGATTAGTCAATATTTGTAACTTAGATGAACTTTAGATAACTTTAATTAAAACTGCATTTTTACCTGTAAGTTCAGATGTTTATATCTAATAAAATATTAACAAGATTGCCAAATTGACAAAAAAAAATATATAATTACTAATTATAAAAATAATACTTTAGTAAATATTCAAATTATTCATATATAGACAAAAATTTATAGTCAGATCATTGTGATTATTAAAATTAAATACAATAGTTTAAATTACTAGAGTAACTAATAAGAGCTTATAAATTATCTAAAACTAATAAAGTAAATTATATAAAAAACTGATAAGTCTAACTTATAAGAAATATTATGCTGATTGATTAAAATATTTCTTTTAATTTTAGTAATCTTGTATATGATTGGTTCAAAAAACTTTATATATAATTAAAATTATGAAAACTCGAAATTTTCACTTATATGACAAATATCATCTTGATAAAAATGTCATTAAAATAAATAATCTGTGTTTTAAAAAGTTTCAATAAATTAGTTAAGTTATTAACTAAAAACTACTTGATAATATACAGTGCAGTATTATTCTCTATTTCTCTATTTTAGTCTATTTATAAAAGGTCAAACTTTAAGATTTAATTTTATTATGCTTTTATAAATATACTGTAATATGCAGTTTTTTTAATATAATTATATAAGAATAATTAAATTATTAATAGTTAATAATTTAGTAATTTTTTTATTATTAATTAAAACTCAAAAGTCTAGCATTTAAAGTTATAAAAATTATAATAATACATATAAAGATCAATGATTAAGTTCTTGGTTTTTAGTGTCTTATTCCTAGTTTGGTGTAATTATGATATAGCTATTTAATTATTATAAAATATGAAGAATAAACACAGTACTCTCTACTCTACTTTTTTTAATTTTAGATTAACAAAATAGCAATAAAATCTTTAATCAAAATATTCCTGTTAATCTGGAATTGAAAAAGCAGAGTAGAGAATACTGTGTTTATTTTTTATAATTTACAGTATAATTTATTATAATCAGATATCACATTATTACACTACAAAGATACTATAGTATTATGATATTATAGCATTACAGTATACAATATTTATAGCAATTGGGTTCTGTACTATAATTAATTCTACTATATAGTAGAATGCTATAATGCTATAACTCAGTAATTCTACCACCAACATTAATTTAGATATAAAAATTTTCACTGATATATAGGTTAAATCAATGAATATCAAGTGTATACTAGGAGACAAGTTTTTGATATATATTTGTTAATTTGCAATAGATTCACCAAATATTTGCTAAATATCAGCAGCATATTAGCAGAATTTTTATAAAATATCAAAAGGTAGATTAATATTGGTAACTTAACAGTACAATATTAGAATACTCTGATATTTTACTCTTAGCACTCTTGACCTAAAAGTAAGCTATCGGGATATTTTAATATTTTGCTGTTATATTGCTAATATCAATCTACCATCTAATATTTTACCAATATGCTGCTAATATTTGATAAATCTATAGCAAACTAATAGGTATTTATCAAAAACTTTTCTACTAGTATATATCTAATATTCATTAATTCAATATATATATATATATATATATATATATACTGTATAAAACAGGAGTGAAAAGAATAAATTTTATATCTAAAGAAAGGGGTTACAGGGTCTTATATAGATTAGATAATGTTATTTATAAACAATCTATTTTTGGGAAGGTTATAAGGTTTTATAAGAGAGGTTTTACCACAAAATCCTGAAAGACAGATTCTCGAAAGGACCCAATATCAACAAAGCTAGCCAGCATTAGTTATAATGCTGGCCAATTTAGTTAGTATTATATTCTTTCAGAAAAATAGTTTTTGAGATTTTGTGATAAATCCTATAAGAAAGTAGATAATGTTATTTATGAATGCCCCTTAGTAGTACAAACTTATAATAAGATTTTCAGAATTATATAAAACTAATATAAAACTTAAATCTAAAACTGGCTTGGCAAATCCCAAGTAAGGAAGTAACAAATTTTTAAATCTTTAACAATATTAGAGAGCAAATCTCAATTGGATTAAAAATTGAAAAAATTAGACAACAAAAAATTTTTTAAATAATTAATTTGGCTGCTAGTATTATTTAAAATTATACTAGTTATATTTTTATTAGTTAATTTATAGTAACTAGTAGTAAAATTTTAGATTAAAACACTAAAAAAAAAATATATGCTATAAAAATAAATAAAAAATTATAAAACTTAAACCTGAAAAACTTAAATCTAAACAAGCTAATCTTACCAGATCAATGGCTTAAAAAACTAAAAAATATATATATATATAAATTATAAAAGTAATAAGATAGAAGTATTGGAGTTATAAAAGCAGAAATAGATAATAATAAAAGTAATTTCCAAATATATAGATTAAACTATAATATAAAAGTAGATATATATTACTTAAGCAAATTTATCTTTAAGAATATAATCAAATTCTAAGATTTATTCAAAATCTAACAAAGCTATCTAATTATTATAATAGCCAGAAGTTAGAAGTTCTATATAGTGAAATTAAAATTATAATTAGAGGATTTAAATAAATAACTGTAGTTGGGTTGTAGATATAAGCAGCTAGTATAAAATCCTAAATAAAATAACTTAAATGCAAGTTACTTAAATTAGTAGTTATACTCTTATTGTATTTAAAATAAAACTTTTAATAAAATCTGTATACAATACTGCTAAAAATAATCAATATAACAAAATACTATATAGGTGCTGCCAAGTAAAAACCAGGAATTCTAAAAATAGACTTTTTTACATAATGGAATGCGGGCTTTTAACTCAATTTACTTATTTGCGCCAGTAATACAAACCAAAAAAGAAAATCACATTTGTAAATAAACCAAGAAAGTTTAGAATTAGGACATTAGGGTTAGTGTTAGGATTAGTGTTAGGGTTGTAAGTTTTTAGTGATAACTTGAGTTTTTTATATCTAAAATTTCATTACTGTTATTTTTTATTAGTCCAAAAAGGTCGATTTAAACACTAGTTTTTGAGTATTTTTCTTTTTCAGTGTTTTTCTTCGCTTTGCTCACGTGTTAGGCTAATCCAGAATCATCACATTTTACATTCTCCGATTGGCTATTTCCTTTTTAGAGATTTGTATTACCGGTACAAATAAGTGGATTCGCTTTTAACCAACCTTGACTAGAATAATATACTGTTTTTTAAATCAGATATTATTAGTATTATTCAAAGTCTGTATTCCATTGTCTAAAAAAATCTATTTTTAGAATTCCTGGTTTTCACTTGGTGGCACCTATTTATAAAAGAAAAGGAGCTAAAAAAAATAAATAAATTTAAAATAAAATAACAACATATTATTTAATTATCAATTTTAATTGTTTAAAATTAACAATTTTTAAATATATATTTAAAAGAAAAAAAGCCAAAAAAAAAAATTTTAAAATAAAAAAAATCATATTGTTTATCAATTTTTAATTATTATTAAAATTAACAATTTTAAAAACAACTTTAAACTAAATTTAAATAAATCCAAGTTTAAATACTATAAATTTATATTGGGTTTAAAATAAATTTACAATAAGATAAGCCTAAAATAAACCAAAGTTGGGTTTAAATAGTTCTGGGTTTGAACTCCCATTTTATTATATATAATAATAAAATCAACATTACAAATATATAGAATAATATATTTGTAAAATTCATTTTTTATTACAATTGTTTTTATAATTCAAATTTTTTAACTAAGTCAACTAAGCTGATAAAATTTTATTAGCTTAGCCCCAGTCAA